AATGTTATAATCCCATGAAACTCGGAAGAGCTCTGTGGTCATGTCAGGGTCTTCCCGACTCCCACAGCTACTGCCAGCACTAGGACATATCAGAACTGTCCGCCCCGCCGAACTTCTCCAACCAACAGAACCCCACAGAACTGGGCTTCTCCGCGCAGAACTGAACTCACTTCAACTCTCACAGAACTGGGTAGACCAGGAAGTACCGACATTTTTAAAGAGCTCTTTTCCCGGTTCATTTGGGAGTCTTCCCATTGGTCAGAACCAACCAGACGGGGTGTGTTTTGTGACGTAAGAGGTTAGAAGACAGCAAGAATTGTTATGGAACAGATCAGAAATGTTCTCAGAAACATAGAGAGTTTTGTTTTGGCGAGTTTTAGAAACAGGTGCCAAAACCCCCCTGTTGACGTCTGAGAGGATGTAAACAAGACAGTTGTTCCAACACATGTCTGCTTCGACTCCTGACCTTGAAAACGTACACTTGCTCATTCGAAGACAGAAGTCAGAAAATGCATAAAAATCTGTAACAGACCTTAACATGAATTCTAACTCTGCATAAGCAATCAAAAATCATTACACTGTTTCACAGTTAATAAAGTTGATTAGTTCACTGCAACATCTAAAATGGTTTGAACTAAGACACTTTAATTATCAACGTTTGTAAAATAGTAATGATAATAAAAAAGAGAGTGTTCTTTTCACTTGAATTTTCAAGAAAGAAAGTCTCAGGATGGGTGAACCTGTATTTCTGGATTCAAATCAATGAAATGACAGTTTCTGTCCCACAAGGTTCTTAAGGTCAAGGGTTTTGACCTTAGGTTAGTTTTGACATCAGGTTAGGTTCACTACACTAGCTAAAAGTCATACGTAGCAAAATGCTATAGCAAATAACTAACTAAATAAATTAATAACCAAGTACATAAATAAATGAAACATTACATTAAAGCCAGAAGTAGCAAAATGCTAACAAAACAAACAAACAAATGAACAGAATTTAGAGGCAGAAGAATCAAAATGAGGACACAAAGCAGGAAAATGCTCTTTGACACCATATTGTCAGAGTCAGAGAGAGTCAGAGTTTCTTTATTGTCATTCGCACCTCATGTGGTACATGTGGTGGAGCGAAATTATGTACACAGGGTCTAAAGTCTAAAGTCTAAAGTCTAAAGATTAGCTTGAAACAACAGTAGGAAATGAGGCGTTACATCCTTTTTGTTCAACCGACTGAGATGATGATCCAAATCCTAAAATATTTCTGTCTGATATCAGACACATTGTGATGCTTTGAACATTTTGTTTATTTGTGTGTGTGTGTGCATGTGTGCGTGTGTGCGTGCGTGCGTGCGTGCGTGTGTGTGTGTGTGAGTAAGTGAAAAAATTAAGTTTTGGTTATTTGATCAACTCCATTTCAGTTCAGTTTATTAATTTATATAGTGTCAAGTCACAACAGAAGTCATCTCAGGGCACTGAACAGAAACAGTTGAGGCTTCATCACTGATCACTGATGAAGCCTTCTGGATCGAAGGTGAAACGTTTCAGCACAATAAAAGAAACTGTCCAGATGACCTGACTGAAAAATGTTGGATTGTATACCTGGATTATTGAGCATGGACTTTGTTATTGAGCTCCGAGACGTGAGGTCTTGGTCTCGACTTGGTCTCGGATCTTATAAAAGACTTGGTCTTGTCTTGGTCTCAGTACACTCTGGTCTTGACTTGGCCTTGGGTTAGGTGGTCTACAACTCCTGTAATGTGGAGGGGACACACAGATGGGGAGGTCTGGGGGGTCCTCCCCCAGAAATTTTTGAATAAAGTAGATGCCATTTCCTGCATTCTGGTGTATTTAACGAGCTGTTAAACATGCAGGTTTACCTACATAAGTAAACTCTTGATTCAGCAACTATTTTAGAGAGCATGGCACAATGCTAAATGCTATTAAGCTAAGTTGATTTGAACTGGGCTGAGCTGAACTGAACCAGACTGAACAGAACTTTATTTACGTTCAATTGAGCAACAATGAACTGAATTAAAATAAACTTAATTTAAATGATCTGAACTCTGTTACACTAAACTGCATTGATTGAAGCTGAATTGCAAAAACAGTTTCTCAAACTTATTGTGTTTTTGTTGTTCATTTCTTTTTCTAGCTGGTTGCTGCAAGATAAAAACATGCAGCTGAGGACAACTTATCCTGGATTCATACATGCCGTTAACTTGTACTTTGACAAGCTCGTGTCGGTTGTCAAACCACTGATGGTAAATGCTTTGTTTGTTTGTTTGTTTGTTTGTTTGTTTGTTTGTTTGTTGGTGTAGACTCTGTGTTGACAGGGGAACGTTCTGTCATAACGCTTTATGTGTTTTAGTTTGAGCACGGCGGGCCGATCATTGCGGTTCAAGTTGAGAACGAGTACGGCTCGTACGCTAAAGATGACAGATACATGCCGCTTATCAAGGATGTGAGTTGGATCAATCATTTTTATCATCAACTTCTTTCATCGGTGTCGGGTCTTCATTCAGACTTCTCTTGTGTCGTTTTCCTGGCAGTGCCTCCAGTCCAGAGGGATCAACGAGCTCCTGATGACTTCAGACAACTGGGAAGGTTTGAGTTTTGAAGGGATGGACGGAGGTACCACAGGCACAGCACAAGGACAAAATACAATGGGTTTATTTGAGTGATTCTGTTCATGTTTGTATTCTCAACATGTAACATGTCAGAGAATTCTCGTTTCAGTTTTGAAAACGATAAATCTACAGAGACTGTCCTTTGGAGCCATCCAGCACCTGGCCTACATGCAGGTAAATGGTGGGAATGTGTGGACTTGATGAAGACAATAACGTCTCATTTTCATACTCAGACAATAGGCTGACTTTTATCAAACCAGTTTTGTCAGAAATGCAGAAAAGTTTTAGACATTTGTAGTACATCAGCCTTTTTTTTATTTAAAAAAAGTCTCTTGTGGTCACCAAAGTCCTGCATGCTCAATAATCCAGGTATAAAATCCAACAATACTCAGTCAGGTCATCTGGACAGTTTCTTTTTTTTTTTTTTTTGTGCTGAGGCATTTTGCCCTCCATCCGAAGAACTTCATCAGTTTGAGGAAACACCATACAAAACTGATTCTCCACCAACAGCCTATTCCATGTGGAAAAAACCTTGTCTTTTGGTCCTTCTTAGTGTTGTTTTGCAGAGCGAAGAAGGGAAATATCCATCCATCCATGCATGTTATGAGCATGATCGTTTGAAAAATAAGTGAGGTACTAACATTCATTTTTGGTGTGGCTGCATCTAAGTGTATGAAAGGTCCCTATGAAAAAATTAGGTTGTCACATTAAAATCCAAGATGGCCACCAC